TCCTCGCATTCCATAGATGCGAACACAATCCAGATCTCCGACTCCAAGCTTGCGAAATCAAAATCAATTAACCTCAAACAAATCGTGAACTTCTTATGCGAACTGTTTTGACCCACAAAACCAAATGCGAACTCAATTGATGTCATATGCGAACTGATTTCATAGATGCGAACACAATTGATTTCATATGCGAATCCACATCCATCGATATGAAACCAATACCAGTTACAAGCAATTAGTAGCAACAACCATCGATCCTCTAATTTTCAATTACTCAGCCTTCGCTTTTCATACAACCCGTCGACCCTGAAAAATCGATAAACACCAAATGTCTCATTTTTAGATCGATTTTCTGATTAAATGTCATATTTGAAGAATGATCGATTTTCTGATTAAATGACCCCATTTTGCGAAGTTGGACCACTTATATTATTTCTTGAAAAGATCAGGTGCCAAATGCGAAACTCTAAGCTTTCTTCCCCAATTCGCATTTATACATTAAAAACTTCGCATTTTCATTCAAATTCTTCGCATCTTGCATCCATCCGTCTTTGAGTTCATTCGCATTTCATCGCATTAACTGAGAAATTAATCAATTGTCTCATATTCGCATTTCAGTTGTTTGAGAAACCCAGATACGAAGCCAAATGCGAAACCCACTAATTTCAAATGCGAACCAACCAAAAATCATCAACCACGTACTTGTGTCACCAAATGCGAACTGAATATCACCATTAAATTCTCCTCGCATTCTATAGATGCGAACACAATCCAGATCTCCGACTCCAAGCTTGCGAAATCAAATCAATTAACCTCAAACAAATCGTGAACTTCTTATGCGAACTGTTTTGACCCACAAAACCAAATGCGAACTCAATTGATGTCATATGCGAACTGATTTCATAGATGCGAACACAATTGATTTCATATGCGAATCCACATCCATCGATATGAAACCAATACCAGTTACAAGCAATTAGTAGCAACCATCGATCCTCTAATGAGGAAACAGTTTCCTATTCGATTGTGCTTTGCAATGACAATCAATAAAGCTCAGGGACAAACAATTCCATATGTAGGTATCTATCTTCCAGAACCAGTATTCTCGCATGGACAACTTTATGTTGCATTGTCCAGAGGGGTTTCACGTTGCAATACAAAAGTATTAGTAAAGCCTAACGAAAATTCAAAAGGTTATGGGGTTTATACAGCAAATGTGGTGTATAAAGAAGTATTGCACGATTAATATTTTGTGTCGTCTTGACTGGTTGCTTTTTATTGGTTATTTGATGCATGATGTAACAAATAACACCATAGTTTGATTATATTGTCTTCAACATGTACTTTTTTTTAACATAACAATTTTGTAATGGAAACATATCACCGAAAGAACTCACGTGCCCCGCCGCTTTGCGCGGGTAGACGGCTAGTATATATATATAGGGTTAGGTTCATTTGAGACCACCTATATTTTGTGAGACCGTGAGACGCATTTTTTGATTTTTTTTGATTTTTTTGATTTTTTTTTAGTTAATTCATGTTCCGAAAATAATATTTAAAAAAAGAATTTTTTGATTTTTCCATTTATTTTGCATTTTAAAATTATTTTTAGAATATGTACAGTGTAATATTCTATTTAGAATATTTCACGTATTTTTCAAAAAAAAAAAGAATTTTTTTTTATTTTTTTTATTTTTTTAGTTAATTGAAGTTCCGAAAATAATATTTAAAAAAAGAATTTTTAGATTTTTCCATTTATTTTGCATTTTAAAATTATTTTTTAGAATATGTCAGTGTAATATTCTATTTAGAATATTTCACGTATTTTTTCAAAAAAAAAAAAACGGAATTTTTTTTATTTTTATTTTTATTTTTTTTATATTTTTTTTAGTTAATTCAAGTTCCGAAAATAATATTTAAAAAAAGAATTTTTGGATTTTTCCATTTATTTTGCATTTTAAAATTATTTTTAGATTTGGTCTCACGGTCTCACAAAATTAGAATGATCTCAAATGAACCTATATATATATATATATATATATATATATATATATATATATATATATATATATATATATATATATATATATATATATATATATGTGGAGTGGTTCAAATGAAAACAAAAAAATATTAAGAACCATAAGAACCTCTAATTTTATCACCTAAATTTAAAGAGATGAAAGTCGGCTGTTAAAAAAAACTCATATTCATGGGTATTTCTTTTGTAAAAAGAATGTGGGTTTCTTTCTATAAGAAAACAAACTATATATTTCACGTCACATATGGAGAAGCATATAATATATAGTTGAAATTGAGCTTGCAGTAAAACTCCCAAAACGTGTACACAAAGTTAAGCATTGGTTAATGAAGACAAAAGAGCAAGTGTATTATTTAGTATTGTGTGGGGTGTGTTTTTGTTGACTCTATTGATCTAAAACAGAGCACAGGATGCCGTGTATAGGACAGGTTACAGATCGACCCCGCGTATCGTGATTTATGGGTCATATATATTTATTTAATAATAATAACACAAAGACATTCCATTTCGATATGGTCTACAACAAATTATTTACATACATACGATAAATTGATTAGATACATAAATTAATAAAAACAAATTTAATAATCGAACAAATATCTAACATAACTACTGATAAAATAAAGTCTTTTAAGCCGAAACAATTGTGACCAATCAATTAACCGTGACATAATTTAATTTGGTAAAATATTATTATATTTTTAAGGTGATAAAGAAAATCAGGAAATAAAGGCTTATCCATTGGTCCATGTGATTTTTGGTAAATCTAAAAGACAGCTACCAATTTCACAAAACCAGAAATGCAGAAAACAATTGACCCAAACGTATGCTCAAATAGTGTCTAAGATATTTATAAACTCATCCCCCTCAAATTTATATAATGAAATTTATTTATTTATCTATTTTGTTATCATTTTCAAAAGGGAAAATGACCTTTGAGGGTAATAAAGTATTCGTCTTGTATTCATTAGGTCTCTTATATTTTTTTTGTCTTTATTATACCATTGAACTTATAATCCCTGTTCACCAAAGCCACCGTGACCGGTTATCACCTGTTTTACCGGTTACCACATTTAATTAGAGATGACATGTCTTATTACGTGGAATTAGAACACATTTAATTACCGTTTCTCTTTCACCCGTTTGTCCTTACAGTTAGGGTTCTTTTTAATTGAGGGAAGAAAAAGTTCAATCGAAGCATACGGTTAGGAAATTGAAGAGAAGTGGTGAATGTGAGTGTTATAGTGAAGAAGATGGCCTCCGATTCCAAACAAAGTAAGTATTTAACAGTTTATTTACATTATAATGGTTTCTTCGCACCAAAACCATTAGTGTACTTGAACGTTGTTGTTGTTTCAATCTGTGATGTCGATTTTGGTGCAATGGATTTCAAAGACTTTAACTTGTTCATTGCAAAGTTGATTGAAGGCAGTTGTGATAATGTATATTATTGCACTAGAAATGAACCATTGGCAGAGGGTATTAGGAGAATTACGAATGATGCTGACTACTTTGAGTTTATTGAAACGGGTTATAGTGATGAAGCCGGTCTAAGAATGAATGTGTATATAGACCACGAAAATGAACCTGTACTTGATTGGGCTGATGATGAAGGGCATTATTTCGACGAAGACCTGGATGATGATAAAGATTCACAACTTTCTGATGATATTCCATATGAGCATGAAGCAGATGATTACATTCCTTCTCTTGACAAGACTATTGGTGATGAATTCTTACATCGGGTGTCAGGTATGTGTAAGGATATAAATGATGAGGCTGAAACTGATGAGGTTGAAACCAAGAATGGAGATGACAAACCAGTGTACCCTGTCCATAATGAGAACCAGAAATGGGACAAAATGGTGCCAATTCTAGGTATGAGATTCTCTAACCCCATGGAATTGAAAAATTGTTTGACTAACTATGCAGTGAAGAATGGGTACAACCTTTATTTTGAGAAAAATGATAGTCAGAGGTTATTAGTGAGATGTTGTAAAGAGAACAAGAACCCCTCTTGTCCTTTTAGACTGTGGGCTTCCTGGATGAGCAGTGAAAGGTCTTTCCAAATTAAGTCATTAGTTGATGAACATAACTGTTCAAGAGTCTTCAAACTTGGTTCCATTGTAACATATAAATGGATTGGAATGCATTTTAAGAATCAACTTCTGAAGAACCCTAAAATGAGCATAAGGAAAATGAAGGCCAAAGTGAGTACAAAGTTTAACTTGATTGTTAGTGTCACTCAATGTAGAAATGCTAGGAGATATGCTTTGGATGAGATAGAGGGTAGTTTGATAGAACATTATGGTAAAGTATGGAGTTATGGAGAAGAAATAATGAGGACAAATCCTGGTTCAACAGTAAAGATAGATGTGAATGTCATGCCTGATTCCACAACCTACTTTTCTAAAATGTATGTTTGTTTTAAGGGTGTGAAGGATGGTTGGATTGCAGCATGTAGGAGGGTAATAGGGGTAGATGGTTGTTTTTTAAAGGGTATATGTAGAGGCCAACTGTTAGCAGCTATGGGTAGGGATGCAAACAACCACATCTTCCCTATTGCATGGGCTGTGGTGGAAGTTGAAAATAAGGAAACATGGAAGTGGTTTCTTGACCTCCTTCTGGATGACATTGAAATGGGAATTGGTCATGGATTGACCCTCATATCAGACCAACACAAGGTATATTTCTGTTTTGTTTTGTTTAAGTTGAATGTTTTTGTTATGTCATCTATTTCATGCTTTCTTTCAGGGATTAATAGAGGCTGTCAAAGAAAGGGTTCCAGCAGCAGAGCATAGACAATGTGCTAGGCACATCTATGCTAACTTCAAGAAAAGTTTCAAAGGTGAACAATATAGGAAGTTGTTTTGGGCAGCAGCTGCTAGTACTACTCAACCAAAATTTGAGGCAGAAATGAATTCCAAAAAAAATTGATCCTTTGGCTTATGAACACCTCATGGAAAGGGACCCTAAAAGTTGGTGCAGGGCATTCTTTGAAGTGGACAGGGCTTGTGATGCTTATGAGAATGGCATATCAGAAAGTTTCAACTCTGTTATTGATCTTGCTAGGAAAAGGCCACTCATCACCATGTTGGAAGAGATAAGGATTTATGCAATGGAGAGGATGTATAAAATGTTGCAAGAGGGACAAAGTTGGGGGAATTTAAAAATATGTCCATCTATAAGGTTGAAGATATCAAAGCTAAAGAAACAGCAAAGGTATGATATAACTTCTATTTTATAAATATTATATGTCTCATCTATAAGATTAATAGAACTTCTTATTTTTTTGGGCAGATTTTGGGGTGTTATACCATCTGGGATACAACAATATGAAGTTAGGATTGGAAATGATGGATATGCTGTGGACCTTAACAACAACACATGTGGATGTAGATCTTGGCAAGTATCAGGTATCCCATGTGTGCATGCAGTGGCAGCCATTTCATACCTTAACAGGAATGCAGAGGATTATGTTGCACCATGGTTCCATACAGCCATGTTCTTGACTTGTTACAACCATACCATTAACCCACTTAATGGTAGTTCCATGTGGCCTGAAGCTCCCTACATGAAGCCATTGCCTCCTCAAAAAAGAAGGTTACCAGGAAGGCCAACCCTTAAAAGGAAAAAAGATCAATCTGAGATGGAAAGCAAGGGGAAAACAAGGCATACTATCTCAAAAGCAGGTTCAGTTAATAGATGCACTATTTGTAGAGAAAGGGGCCACAATAGATCAACATGTCCTACTAGACCAGCAGATGTAGCATCCACTTCAAGGCCAAAAAACAAGAAACCTAAAAAATGTAAAAAAGAGAAAGGTATGCTATTAAAACAATATAATTTAAATGGAACATCCAACTCATTAGCTACATATTTGTATAGCAGGTAAAGTGGAACCAGTTCAAGTGGATCCAGTTCAAGCAGATCAGTGGATCCAGTTCAAGTACCAGCTCCACAGGTTGATCCAGTTCAAGCAGATCCAGTGGATCCAGTTGATGTACCAGCTCCACATGTTGAACCAGTTCAAGTAGATGATCCACATCCAGATGTTGATGTCCCTGCTCAACCAGTTGCAACTAGGCAGAGGATACGAAAATACTCAGAAAGAATTACCAAGATAGGGTTGAGGAGGAAGGTTTTGAAGAAAGAAGGAAGCACTGGACACAACCCAATGGTGTTGGAATGATTTTATTTGGAAAGACAAACTTTTAGTCTTATAAATATGTAATTGGGAAAACTTTAAGAATCATGGCACATGGCACATCTTTTGACATATTAGGACAACTGTGGGCACAGCTTTTGTAATAGTGCACATGATGATGGAATATTACAACTTTGTCTTTTATCTATATGCTTTGGTGTACGGTTATTTGCATATAGATTGTTTAATCTTATATTATCTATCATAAATCAAGTAAATTTAGTATTACTACATTAAGCAAAGTTTGGTGTTGTTGTTGTTGTTAATCTGGACCATATTACCCTTGGATCACATCAACACATTAACAATTGATTACTGCCAAATTTAATATGGACCATTTTACCCTTGGATCACATCAAGACATTAACAATTGATTAATGCCAAGATTTAGTCTTAATACATTAAGAAATGTTTGATGTATCCAATGTGGTTAATCTGGACCATTTTACCCTTGGATCACATCAACACAATAACAATTGATTACTGCCAAATTTAATCTGGACCATTTTACCCTTGGATCACATCAACATTAACAATTGATTAATGCCAAGATTTAGTCTTAATACATTAAGAAATGTTTGATGTATCCAATGTGGTTAATCTGGACCATTTTACCCTTGGATCACATCAACACAATAACAATTGACTGCCAAATTTAATCTGGACCATTTTACCCATGCATCATGTCCAATTCATTAACCTTTTAAACACATTAATACTTCTTGGAAAGCACTCAAAACATCAAACTATCATTAATCAAAAAGATTTAGTCATAATACATCAAACAAATTACAACATTAAGGATTACATTTAGTCTTTGAATACAGCTAAACTAAGGGTTAAATTAAGGGCTAAACTACTTCTTAAACACAAACAACAGAAACAACACAATCATCACAACTTTATGAGTAAATAGCTTCCATTTGAGTTTTTCAAACTCTTGTCTAACAACCAAATTTTCTTGTTCCATCTTCATCTTACATATGCTGATCTCGTTTTCCAATATAGAAACTTTGAGGGTTAAATTGCACGGTTCTTTTTTGTCCTTCCCAGAATTGACTTCATTTTCAGGGGTTTCAGGCTCCAACCATTCCCAGAACTTGCATTTTGGTCCTTCATTCTTGAAAAAAGTAACAAATTGGTTAAAGAAAGAAGATTAAACGAAAAGTAAAAAACAATTGCTTTACCATGGAGTTAGGGCACAATCTGAATTTTTTTCCTGGATTGTCTTTAGTTCGTGAAGTTCATACACGAGATGGTAACCCACAGTAACAAGGATTTTCAGGTTGAAACTCAACATTTCGTTTCGAAGAAATAGAAGAAGAAGAAGAAGAAGACATGTCGATCTAGGGTAAGAACGGGCAAGAAGATGCAGTACTGTAACTTTGCAATTAATAAGCCCAGTTTATGGCACATAATGCCACGTAATATCCACATAAGTAGTAACCTACAACAACCGGTATCAAGGGCTTTGGTGAACAGGGATTATAAGTTCAATGGTATAATAAAGACAAAAAAAAGATAAGAGACCTAATGAATACAAGACGAATACTTTATTACCCTCAAAGGTCATTTTCCCTTTTCAAAACCACATGTCCACCGTAGTCCACGGTATATGGATGAGCTCCAACCCACTGGCCGAAGTATTTTTTATGAATATGATTGAATACAAGAAATAGCAACCATACATTCATTTATTTGTTTACTATAATGTCTAAATTTTATTTCATTCTATTAAAACAATTGTGCTTTCAAATTCTATTTTTATAAAGGCATTCATATTCAAGAAACAACTAACATTTTATTATTTTATTTTTTTAGTTTGAACCTTAATTTTTTTTTTTTTTTAATTCGGTTTTCCTCATTTCCGTTTTAACTCTCGGTTGCCATTGCCTACATGGCATGCCATATCAATATTTTTGTTACAAAAGACCCAACATTTTGTTTTCACAAAGATCTAAATTTTGGCACTTTTTCGGTTTAAACTTGCTATGTAAAGATGTTTAGTATGTTAAGGTGTTCTTTATTTTTTGGAAAAAACCTTTTCAGACCTATTATTGCTATGCGACGCAGCACTTTTCATCTCGTAGCTGTTTGTTTTTTAGAAGTCTGGATTAAAAAACATCTGCGCGTGTTCTTCTTAACGCAGCACTTGTTTTGACTCCTCCTACGTCTTCCAACATATTCTTTTTCTTTTATTATTGTTAAAATATTGATTATATATTGTTGAAATCTTACTTAATTTTTTTTCTTTATTCTTGTAGAATTTTTTTTTATATTGAATAATAATAATTTGTTGATGAAATATCATTATTTTATGCTAAAATATATATTTTTTTTTTGTTAAAATATTATTATTTTTTGCTAAAATATCATAAATTCTTGCCGAAATGTCATATATTATTAAAATTTCGATATTAAAAAACTATTTTCGGATTATAATATCAGTTTATTTTAATTTTTTAATATCTGCAGCAGCATGCAAATGTTAAAAAAACAAACATGCTTATTATTATAGTCTGAAGCCGTTTGATCCACCTATTCTACTGCAGATGGTTGCAGAGATAATCTGCAAATTTTATGGATTTTTACTTAAAAAAAAAACAAACTAACACCTAAGTGTGATTATAATGCTTTTGTATGCTTAGATGGTAAATTTCTATTTATAAAATTGCATGACAAATGGCGTTAAGTGAATCATGTACATGTTGCATCACATGAATGGATTCATGGGTGAAATGTATGTGTGGCCCGGACACTTTAGGAGGTTTTTGAGGTTTATCAAGGACATTGAAAATTCTAGATAAGGGTTTTTTTTTTCTTTTTTTTTTCAAATGAAAAAAAACACATACACACAAGCCTTGTATTTTAGGGTTTCCATTGAATCCACACGGACTGCATTTTGGGTTTAGTCAAAGCTGATCGGTTTTTTTTTTTTTTTTTTTGCAAATAAATAATTGTGATTGTTTGTTTATTTTTTTAATTAAATGTTGATTATGTATTTAGATTGTTATGATGAATGGCATTGCCAAACATGACCAATGTGATTGTGTTGTGAATGCAAAGCATCATAATCAGTTAATCACCATGAACTCGTCAAATAATAATAGAATAGCAACTATGTTTAAACCGAAAAATGTGATGATGTTAGGTCTTTTGAGAAAACAAATGTTGGGTCTTTTGTGTAAAAGCTAATAAATGCCAAGACATAGGCAATGACACGTGAATGGGCTAAAATAGCCAAACCAAAAAGCTACCCCACTCCTCAATGTTTGAATAAACAAAGTTTAGGTTTAAACCAAAAAAAAATGATAAAACGCTAGGCCTTTCACTCTTTCTTGTAATTAACCCTTGGAAATTCTACCAAATTATAAAATAGTTTCATTGATTTCTTATTAGTACATTATACTTGGAAAATTCTATCTGAATTTAGCATCAATAATTGTGTCATATTTGGATGTCATTACTATTACCACATAGATTTCCCAAAGTACAATACTACATAAGAAAATTTGAAATTAGGAAGGTATAATAAACAAATCAAAGAAAGTATGTTGTTGTTTCTTACATATACCCATTATGGGTACCATAATCATATAATTAATTAAAGATGTCATAACATTTGAATTTGAAAAGTTTCATTAATGCTAGAAGATTTGTGCATGTATCAATTTACACGGTTGATCTTTGGTTAGTGCTCTTTCTAGTTTCTACATTGAGTTAATATGGAAAACATCAAAAAGATTCAAAGGACAATAACCACTACTGCAATAAGCACTGCTATTGTAAATATCAAAGCCTGAAATAAAACCAAACTTGGGTCAGTGACAAAAACATTAAGGGCGTGTTTGGTTCACAAATCCCAATGAAATTGGAATTTGGGATTCCATTCCATACTTGCCAAATGGATGGAATTCAATCTGTCAGAATCCTTCAAATGCCATGTTTGATGGATTTCACCATTCTTTTTGAAAGGGTGGAAGAATTTTCAATTTCATTCTTTCTTTTTTTAGATAGAGGTGTAACTATATAGTGTTGAAATTTTAACTAAATATATTTCCAGTACACCATAATTGTTGAACAACATTTCTTTTTTGTTTCTGGGGAAAAACTTTAACCTTTGGACTTATCATAAGGGCTAACATAACTGTTGACCATTTCTAAAAGTCAAGATCATCAAGCTTCTTTTGACACCCAATTGAGAAGTAGTTTGAATAGAGTGATTATGATGATGGGGTTTAGCATTCAATAAAGAATACTATATATGGTATTCTAATTCAATTGGAATGAAGTGAAACATATTTAAAAAAAAAAAAAAAAAAGGACATAAATTGGTTTTTGAAACACATACCACTATTGCACTAGCAGCAAGTCCTGTTCTCTCCCTTGGATCCTTTTGATAGTAATTTCTCAAGTACAAGATTGTTGCATAATACCACAGCAAAGGGAACACAAATCCAACCAATAGACTGCAAAAACACACATCATATATAAATCCACACATGATGTTTCATGGTAGGAAAAGAACTCACCAAAACCATCCTATTCCACAGCCACAATAAGGGAGGGGTTCATCAAAATATGCTAGCTGAAGCAGATTATTAGCCTCTATATCTCCAATTAGTGTGTAGTTTAAATCTTTTTGTTGCTTTAAATCCGATGAAATCACTGCATGCATCAATAGAACAAATTGTACCTCAGAATAATCAGTATAAGCAAACATATAGGTAATACCACCTTTGGTTCTTAAATCAAACATAGATGTATGATAAACTTTAAGATTCATTACTTTGGTTGGTACGTCAAATGTCTTTCAGCTTCTTTTTCCTTAGAAGACCTGTTAAAACGACAAATAATTAGTATAGCTGCCATTGAATAGTTGAATGTTGAATACAACCTAATAGAAGAACAAGAACAAGAACAAGTATGGATTACAATGGAACCCAAGTAGCAGACGAAATGACAAGGTTTTCTCGGAATCGGTGACAGGAAATAACAAATTTTATTCATCCTCGATCGTAAAATTCTTCAGCTAAATGGTAGCATTAGGAAATCGTTCCCAATTACATGAAAAGATAACTCGGAAGATATATTCAGGTTAAGGATCAACGAAATAAGGCTCGGTAAATAAAAACAATCAAATTATAGAGAATGAACAGCTAAAGAAGCAAATGTAGTGGTAATTTACTAAAACCCTTGGTCGAAATGTAGAATCAAAAACTGTATAAGCAAATTCGAACCGGATTACAAAGCGGACTTGCTTATAACAAAAGATTAGAATGTAAAAAGGAAACATAGCGCCACCTTTCCGTGAAAACGAAGTCGCGCCGTCGTCGCTGTTGGGTTTGAAGTTGGTAGGTGGATTACTGCCGCCGTCTACCTTCGGGCCCCGCCGTATGCTTATGTGCCGCAACAAGTTAAAATCTTAGACCATGGTCCGATAGGGCCACAAACCCAATAACCCGACCTGTTAGGATCGTGTGAAACCGGTTTGGAAAAACTGAATTTTCTCTTTATGTTTAAAGTTTTGAAATTACAAATAAAAAAATGGGAATACATGTTTAAGTCTAAACAAAGCAATTTTATTGAATATAGGCACTGTCATTGTCAACATTGATGATGTTGATTTGGTAGTAATAGTAGTAGTGGTCGTTTGTTGTTTAGACGGATGGGCGCTCTTATTGCGTTATCCGATGTGGCAGTGTCATAACGGGCGAACACTGTCCCACCCTCCTGTTATTATATGTTATGTTATCTATTATTATTGTGGTAACGTATTGTAACGCGTATAAATCCAAACATTGCAAAACTAAACCGTTTAAAAACAATACATTTTCAAAATTAAACTGTTTAAAAACGATAAGTTTAATAAAAAAAATTACTAATTATATTTTTTATATTACATATAATATATATACTTCATTCTTTTTACTACACATATATTTCTCAATATCTAACTCTATTTCTCTAAATCGCTCAAAACACAAACACAAAAATCAACCAATTATGGATCAAAACCCGAATACTCATCCTCCAAACATAAACACATCCACTCCAATAAGTTTTGCGGCATACAAGGGCTACATAAACCTCCTCAACTCACAAAACTCACCACAAATTCCATATACCGCCAACGTTTTCAATCCCGTCTCACCCCACTACAATTCTCTACCTCGCCTTATATATGACAAGCAATTATACAGCCCCCACCCACGCAGGGAACAGTTATTGAGACGCAAGCCGTGGGTAGTCGGAAAGCATTGGGAAAAAAAGGAGATCAAAAAATGAAGGGAAAGAGGTCGTGGTCGGGGAGGAGCAAATGGAAGCACCTCCAACATGGTGGATACGGGAGGAAGAGCATGTGTTGGAGGTGGCTTGGTGCGGGACTTCAAAACAACCAACTTTGGGGAAAGATATGAAGAGAGTTGCTTTATGTGAAGCTGTAATTGTCAAATTCCGTACAATTTTGAACAAGAGTGACACATATCGCAATCATGATATACTTAGTGGTAAATGGACTCAAATTAGCCGGAAGTGCACCAAATTCAATTCCATCTACAACAAACTTTCTTCGCAACGTCAAAGTGATGTCAATGAGTTCGATGTGTTTAGAGCCGCAAGAGAGGAATATCACTTGTAAATGGGTTACATATATGAGTACGAAAAACTTTGGGAGATCGAGAGGAAAGATCCAAAATGGATGAAAACGTCAACATCATCGGAACAATAAAGAGGTCCCATTGTTCGAGTTCGGTTGATGTTTCCGACGAACACACGAACATCGACCTCAACGGGGACACCGATGAGAACCCGGACGAGTTTGACGACATCAAGGAAATCTATCCGCCACCACGACCGATGGGGCGTGACAAAGCGAAGCGCGCTTAACAACATGTGGAGGAGAATGAAAGTCGACTTCGAGGGCACAAGGAAATGGAAAAAAAAAAATGATGCCCACACGAAAATCGCAAATAAAATATATGAATTGCAACGAAAGCATTTGGATTTCCTTCGCCAAGAAGCCGACCAAGATTGCATATCGAAGAATTTGACAATTCTTACGACAACCGAAGAAAATTTGGCACCAAGACGAGCTGGAGTGATACGGAGGATGAAGGCAAAGATCGAGAACAAATACTTGAACGACGAATAGTTTATTGGTGTTTTTTTTTTAATTATTGAGACCATCGTATGTTTTTGTTCAATTGTAACGACCGAAAAAATACAACCAATTTAAATTTTTCAAAAACAACCCGATTTCATTAAATTGTTTACAAAAAGGTTTTCAATACAAATCATTTAGAGTATTCCCAGAATCACATTGCTACAAAATCATGAGGAGTGGTACGATCACGCCTTCGCCTTGCCACAGTCTCCTGAAGAACCTAAAAAACATTAAACCACAACTATAAGCCCGAAAGCTTAGTGAGTTACCCCCAAAATACCAACCACATATACGCCCTTCCAGGCTACAACCATAACAGAACATAACAGAACATAGAACATATAAAACATACATAACATAACAGAACATAGAACAACCATGCATATCGGGTCTACTATGTGACTGGTCCGCCGTATCGGCCTTCAGTCCACTGGATCCATCCTCCGAGTCTAGTCATGTCCTTCGAGTCTACAGTGTGGTTGGTCCGCCCGCACTGGGCCTTCAACTCACCTGGTACACTCTCTGAGTCTACAGTATGACTGGTCCGCCCGCATCGGGCCTTCAGTCGGCCTGGTCCACTCTCCGAGCCTCGGCACGTCTGGTCCGCCCACGTGGGGCCTACAGAATATCCGGACCGCTCGCTCGGCCTTCGGAACAACCGGTCCGCCCTGAGTATCTTGGCCTACAGCACAAAGCAGGACCGCCTCAACCCATATCCAGTCCAAGCAACCATGTACACATAAACATATAATCATATACACATTCAAACAAGCCGATCTAGCAGATCACATAGCATAACATACTCTAAGCAGGATACCGACCTAACAGGTCATTAGCATAGCATCTCCCTATCTCTCAGGATACCGATATCGATCAGGTCTCTAACATATACCGTCCTAACTATCAGGATGCAAGCATATCACAACAACAAAATAATAACAACTACCCGGATTTTCAATCCGATAAGGGCCGGCCTTGGTGCCTTAGACCCTGTTGATATAGTGAGGATAACTCACCTCGAAATTGCCGGCTGAAAGGATAAGATCCTGCTGCTCCAACTCTGACACGAACTCCTCCACTGAACACCGAAACATTCAATTCAATAAATACCCTTAATTACCAAAATACCCCTGGAAGACAATTGGTCAACCTTGGACAAAGTCAAAGTCAACCCCTGACTGACCCTACTCGCCGAGTCAACCCGATGACTCGCCGAGTCCCTATGCTCAGAACTTCCCTCCATCCGCGACCCAACTCGCCGAGTCACCCCAAGACTCGCCGAGTCCAACAACTCTGAGTCCACTCGTACCCAACTCACCGAGTCATCCCTTGACTCACCGATTCTCGGCTCAACCAGGAAATATTGGGACTCTTCGACAAGACTCGCCGCGTCTAAGGCTATCTTCTACCTACTCGCCGAGTTGTTCTTCCAACTCGCCGAGTTCCAGACCATCTTCAAGCAACTCGTCGAGTCCACCCATGTGACTCGCCGAGTCAACCCGATCTGAATCAATTCAGAAGCACTCCAGACCATGCAATTGATCCAAAACATAGATCCAACCTCCTACAATCCATCCATCACGTAAAGTGGCAAACTTTACGTGAATCTAAAGAGATCTAGGCCTTATTCACCTTAGAACTAAGGTTTGGGACATGATAGCTCCATTAACAACACAAGAACAGGGGCTTTAATGCTCTTAAGATCTTCTCCACTCCAGATCTGAGGTAGCAACCTCAGATCCATCCTTCAAACTCAAGATGTCACACAACTAAGCTTCCCACACAACCCCAAAATGAGAATCTAGGAGAACACAGCCCAAGAACGAAAGTATTACCTCCAAAGAATGCCCCAACAGCAATGAAACTCGAATCCAAGCAAAGCCCTTTGATCCAAGCCTCTTCTCCTTCAAGATTTCTTCAACAAGCACCTCTCCAAGCTCCAATTTGCTCAACAATGGGGTTCCTCCACGAAATTAGGGTTTCTGGGACTCAAGGGGGATCAAGGAGGCTGTGGAGGAAACATAATGGTCTTTATATAGGGCTCATTCCCCGGATTTAGGGTTTTCTTCGCCCAGCACCTACTCGCCGAATCCATCTTTGGACTCGCCGAGTAGGTCGCTTGACACACGACCACAGTCGCGACTCTACTCACCGAGTCGCCCTTCAAGATTCACACTTTTAGCCCTTCAACTCTATTCTTGCTATTCCGGGATGTTACAATTCTCCCCCACTTAAATTAGGCTTCGTCCTCGAAGCTTACGGCATCTTAACTCCAAAATACTCCCACGACGCGCCACCTGGCTTTAACCGGAGCAGGTCCCTCAAGGCACAACCATAGAAACCAGAAGCTCACTTTCTCCCTTCATGCGGTGTCCCAACCACCTACTCAACCCGGGCACCAGCTGTACCTTCCGATAGCCGCACTCAACAACCGAGAATTACCCATGATGCCTTACTGCTCCAATTCTCATCATTCACTTGACTCAAATGGCTAGAAAACCATGAACCATCAG